AATTTAGCCATTCTAATAGGCGTATACAGAGGTGGAGGCACAGTGGTTTAAGTGTTTGGCTGGTGATGGAAAGGTTGGTGATTCAAACCCATCAACTTCTCCACAGGAGAACGATGCAGCAGTCTCCTTCTTTAAAGATTACACACTTGGAAACCCAATGGGGCAGTTCTTCTCTGCCCTGTCGGGTCACTGTGAGTTGGAATTGACTCTAGAGCAGTGGGTTTGGTTTTTGTTGATAGGTATATAGTGGTATCTCATTGTTGTTTTAATTTGGAATTCTCTAATGACATGCAATGTTGAGCATCTTTTCACATGCTTATTTATCATTTATATATCTTCCTTGGTGATGTTTCTGTTCTTATTTAGTGCAGACAAAGCCCAGATTATGAACACTTTCTGTTCCTAAAACTGTCTTTAAGTCAAATGTGTAAATAAGTCAGAACAATTAAGAACAATTTTGTAGCTAACATCAATGGTCAAATGTTTGTCTTTAGTATATAGTGTACCTTTCTATGCATAAAAACATTAAAGAAACCTTCCCAGACACACTAAAACATCTTTAACATAAGAATACAGTAATAATAATAGTGATATTTTGATGCAGAGTGTGATCCAGCTGGGCATTGTGGGGGGGATGGGGGGGTGGTCAGCAAAGTAGCAGGGGAAGGAGTTCAGAGCATTGTGGGGCCTGGTTGGCAGTGAGTGATTTGCGGAGGCTTCCCAGCCCTCAGCACTGGATGGCTGGTATGGTTTGCTGGTAGAGGCAGCAGTACCAACCACCCGGGAAAGACCCTGAGGAAGGAAAGGAGGTGCAAGGGAGAGGAGGGAGAGAGGTGGCGGGCGGGTGGAATAAACTTCCAGAGGTATAGAGGCATGGGTGGGGAGGACAGCTGTGGGAGGGATGGGTGGGCAGCTGGGAGTTTGCCTCTGGGGGGCGCTGGAGAAGATGGTCACAGGAAGTAGAAAATTTCCCTCAGTGCAGAAGGGGAGGCTGTAGCATGGATGTGGCTGCAAAGAGCAGGAAACAGAGTGGGAGGGGCAGCAGGAGGAGAAGGAAGTGGCTGCGGAGCACTTGGCCAATGAGTGCCTGGAGCTGTGATTGGGCGGGCAGCAACACATCATGTCTCCTGCTGCGGAGCCAGGGAGCCAGGAGGGAGAGGGAAGCTTTCCAGGGGTTATATGTTTGTAATCTGAGGACGGCCTGTACTCATCTAGATTCTGTCACGTATTACAGTTCCCATTTTACAGGTGAGGAAACTGAGGCTTCACGACATTATCTCTCTTGTATAATGTTCGCACTTTATTATTTGCACCCATGCACGCCTGATTCCAGAGTCTGCCCGTATTTCATGCATTCTTCTTCCTCTTGGGTTGTGTGTGTGGTTAACCCAGATCTTGGATCCATGGGCACTGACCTGGCAGGCGATGCAAGGTGCATGTGGATTTGGGGCAGTAAAGAAGAAAGACAGTTCTGGGACTAGCTGCAGGTACATTTCCCATCGGCAGAGTATACTTTAGGTGTGTTGAACTTCTCTTCCGTATCTGAAATTAGAAACCCTTGAAGGTGGTTCAAGGAAAGATGAGCAGATTTCCCAGTCCAGCTCCACGCCCCATGAACGGGGCTTGTCAAATGCATGTCTGCAAATAGGCAACAAAGCAAGGGGTGGCCGACTACCCAGTGCCTAAGTCTGCAACAGGGAATTTCACTTCGGCAAGAACACGAGTAATTGATACCTTGTAGAAAGAGATGAGCATTGTCCTATGCCAGCCAGGTAGTTTGTTACCATAACTGTTGTGTGCATTTTAGTATTCAAAAACAGTTGTTGCGGAATGTTTCCACTGTGGGAAGCAGCTGCTGCTATTCTAGCATGCAAATCTCAGAGAGATTAATATACAAAGGCAGCGTGAACTGCAGTGGCAAACGCAGCATCTGCTTGAGGTGGGGCCTGCGATTCCCTGCAGAGAATCTTCAGATTCTCATTAACAGCCCGAAACCATGTTTCAGATCTGAGCTGCTTCTACAGGAACAGGAACAAAGACAAGTGATTAATTTGTAATTCACTTAGCTGATAAATATCATCACATGTTGTTTGCCCTCGGGCTGTAAAACACTGGACTTCGTTTCTTGTGGCAACTGATAGGAATGTAGATGTTTCGTGGTAATGACTGATGCTTTCAGTGGCCATGACTACCTTCTGCTGGGTGTGACAGAGTTCAGCACAACGGCTTGCAATGGTCAAGCATCCATCCGCAATTCAGTGATGTATTCCGAGAGCACTTTGCAGTTTACGGAGGGCCCTCACTTGCACTGCGTGAGCCCAGCCCGGCCCTGTGAAGTCTGTCCAATGTCATGGTCAGCCCTACTGGACGGATAAAGGAAAGGAGGGTGAAGAAGGGAAATGACTTATCAGGATGCCACAGCCAGGGCCTCTGACTCTAATTCCTCTCCCGCACTCTCAGACTGTATCAAGCTGCTTCTTGAATTTCAGAGGCTATGTTGTGTGTATCATAATTCGCATCCTCCTTTCTAGAGACGTGCGCTTTCAGGACCCACGCCATGAGCAGTCCCACCTGACAGCGCTGCCTGGTAACCGGAGGAGGCCAGGGATGAGCTAGCGCAGCAGTTCCTCTTCTCTCCCTCCACCTATGAGGGAGATGCACAAATATTCCCTTTCCTTATGTTCGGAGCACTTCAGAAACTGAGCTTCTGTGTCTCCCTGGCACTTAGAGAAAGGAACAACCAGAGGCAGACCCCAGGGCCGTCATTTGGAGTTGCCATAAACCAGAAGTTCCCAAGCACAGTGCTGCCTGGGGTGCTGTACAAGGCTCATAAATCCAACCCCTGCAACGTTCAAGGGCTCACTGCCTCCACCAGATCTACTCTTTGGAATTATCTAGTGAATTATTTATGGTTGACACATTTGACAGGGGCTCAGAGCTGAGTTTGAAAACTCTCCATTCCTGACTTGCTAGTAGTGTCTGGGGCCTAGAAGTATCTGTCTGGAAGCTGAGACTCAGAGAAGGTAAGTAACTTGCTAGAGTTCACGGAGCTGGTCAAGCCGTGCACTTGGGCTGAGTGGGTGTGACTTTTAGCTACACTCGCTCCTTTGTGGAAGAGCCTCTGTGATCCGTTTGAAGGAAACAAAGCTCTGTGGGTGAGAAGGTTTGTGGACTGTGTCCTGTGCCCCTAGCAAGGCTTGGGCGGAGAAGAAACCCCAAAGAGTGTGGTGGGAAGGGCCAACCACTGAAGCAGAGGAAAGGGGCTGAATTCTAGCAGCTACAGCAAAGGAGGAAAAGATTGTCAGCAGGGGTCTGGGGGACAGGGCAGGAAGCAAATGAGGAGGCAGTAGAAAGACCCGTTTATGTCTTGTAGAATGCACTGACATGAAGTCCTACCCGACAGTCCCAAAGAGGCTGCCAAGTGGGAACCTGGGGCCAGGACAGGTCCAATAGTGTGCTCTTAGATGACATCACTGCTGCTTCTGCCAGAATCACACTGCTCTACCAGTCAAAAAAAAAAAGTACATTTCTAGGCATTTATTTCCTCTCTATTTTCCTAAATCTTTTGTTGGAACATCTGTGAAATGGAAAAAAAAAAAAAAAAACCAACTCAAAATACACTATTTGCAAGCACCATAAAGATGGTTGTTCTTCAGTTATTTTGATCAAGGACTGCTATTTCACAAGTGAAGAAATACAGTAGCAAATCACTCAGATTTATAAAATATTAATAGATGTGTTCTGAGGTGCGCAGATGTAGAATGCATCACATAAGGAAGTGCCCTTCCTCCTTATTCTCTAGCCCGGGGGCCCATGGGAAGACCACTTACCTACTTGCCAGGAGCACACACCCTTTGTTCTGCCAGGATCACATGTTCACCTTACAGAGGGTACAGCATGAAGAAGTGGGCCATGGGGCTCTAGCTACAAATAGCACAACATGAAGTAGGGGAAGGGCAGGCAGGCCTCCAACTTTCAGAATGAAAAGTGCACAGAAAGCCCAGCGTAACCCCCCTTTCATATCTGTGCAGAAGAGTTAGAAACTGAGGACTGGAATCTAAGACTGTGCGCGTGGTAAGACTCTAGAACCCGTGTTGACACCTCCTTTGCTATTCCTATTTGGTTCTCTACACTTACGGAGAATTGTTTTCATTACAACCTTTAAGACAAAAAGCGTCTGTGTACTTTTCTTTGGGCAACACGTGGACGTGTGACAAGCCAAGTGAGGGGTCTAGAAGTGCCTCTAGGCAAGAAGAGCAAAGCTTGCAGAACCAATGTAAGCCTGAGAAGGCGTGGTGAGGCTTGGTGGAGACCACCCCGTTCGGACACTCAGAGGCGTAGAACGTAAGCCACCCATTCTTTCCCCCCGGGACTCACCCAGACCTAAGCCCTCCTCAGTAACCAGCACTGAAGAAGTCCCATTACGGGAACGGGGATCAGAGAACACGATGCTCCCGTGGGTCCTGGCTTCCAGAATTATCGGTTAGTGTTGTAAGCCTCTCTCCCTTAGCATCCGTGTATCCATTTGCTTTGGGAAAAGACAAGACTAGAGAAATGCCCAGGAATGCAAAGAGCCAACGGGTGTCTCCTGTGGTTTTCCTATGCTGTGTTAAATGTAGTCATTTATTTTGATTTTTCTTCAGCATTTTCTTATGCCACAGAGGTTAACGGGTTCTCACAGAGCCATAATATCATAGTTGCTATTAGATATGCCAGTGCATCTTTAGACTATGATGATGATTGTGTGGAATACAACTTGTTTCTGTTAGATTAGGCAGTGAAAGCTACTGATTAATTTGCCATTGTCGTCTTCTAGCAACTTGGCCGTTTGGATGTGCTCTTTATCAGTTCTGCAGAGGTCTGTGGACCACTGATAGAAACACCATTAGGAGTTGGATTGCATAGTTTCAGTCAAACTCTGTGGTATTTTATCTGCTGAAACAAACCCAAGGCCGTTTTCTGATGTGTTTCCATGTCTCTGCCTTATCCTTTCTCCCCAGGCAGCTTCATCAGCCCTGAGCAGCCTGGGCCATGTGTACACGGCCATTGGAGACTACCCCAATGCACTGGCCAGTCACAAGCAGTGTGTTCTCCTCGCCAAACAGTCCAAAGATGAACTTTCCGAAGCCCGAGAACTCGGCAACATGGGAGCCGTGTACATCGCCATGGGTGACTTTGAGAATGCTGTGCAGTGCCACGAGCAGCACCTGAAGATAGCCAAGGACCTGGGCAACAAGCGGGAAGAGGCCCGGGCCTACAGCAACCTGGGCAGTGCCTATCACTACCGGAGGAACTTTGACAAGGCCATGTCTTACCACAACTACGTGCTGGAATTGGCCCAGGAGCTGACGGAGAAGGCCATTGAGATGCGAGCCTACGCTGGCCTGGGCCACGCTGCCAGGTGCATGCAGGATTTGGAGAGAGCCAAACAGTACCATGAACAGCAGCTGGGCATTGCTGAGAACCTCAAGGACCGGGCTGCTGAGGGGCGAGCGTCTTCCAACCTGGGTAAGAACAGGGCGGCTTGCAGGATGCAGGGCCAGTGCCGTGGGCAGGAAATAGCTGGGGCAGCCCCCTGTCTATTACAGGCAACTGCGTGTTTGTGTTCACAGACCGTCCTCATTGTGTGTGTTGTCTCCCTCAGATAAGTTTCCTAGGAGCCTGCTGCTCTAAATCACACAGGCCTCCCTGTCATCACAGTGCGCTGAGGATTAGAACTCTGAAATCCTGGAAAAGCAAAACACCCCAGCCTTTAATCTGTCTAGAGAGAAGAGCTAGCAGATTTATCTAATTAGAGAGAAGGGAAATGAAACGAGGATAGCAAGCTATGTTTGATTTAAATGAAAGAGAAGCTTCTAAGAAGTCATCAATGGAAGGGAATTTGAGAGGGTTTTTGCTTAAAGGAATTTCTTTACTTGGTGAATTTAACCCCACAAGAAATGTATTTTTTTTTTTCTTAAAATTATGATATTGCAAATTATATCGATAGTTTCAGTGTAAATGCAAAATTACTGCATTTATTTATTTAAAGAAGATACATTTGTACTCACTATTTTAACAGTACTCAGTTACAAGTAAGGAATTTGTAAATTTGGGGGAGTTTCATATGTAATGGCAGGAGACAATAAGGAATGGGTAGCATTGGCTACTTTTTAGAAGATACTGTTATTTTGCCTCTGTACCCAAACAGATGTGGGTAACCGTACTGAATGGAAGGTACAGATGTATTTGGAAATATAAGAAGCTGAATTCATCCCTGTGATTGGGTCTGTGCCCACATACAGGGACTTAGAGTGGGAAGAGGCCAAGGAGGAAGTGGCCTTATTGTCATTCATGCTTACCAGATATTAGTGGCAGCTCAATATAAAACTCAGTTTACTTCTCCGATGGGACCTGCACACCAAGACACAGCCATCTCTATTTATGTTTCAGCAAGACTCCTCCCTCCCCTCTACCCTCAATGCTTATCTTAACCATAAACCAAAACAAAACCAAACCCACTGCCTTGGAGTCTGATCCACTCATAGCGACCCCTCCTTGGATTTCTGAGGCAGTATCACTATGGGAGTAGATTGCCCAACCTTCCTTCCAAGGAGTGGCTGATGGGTTTGAACCATCAGCCTTCTGATTAGCAATCAAAAGCCTTAGGCACTATGCCACCAGAGCTCCCATTGTTTCTTAAATAAAGTTGTTAGAGGAAGTCTTGCACATCCATAGAGATGGTGTTGAAGATCAGTACGATCAGAATGAGAGTCTGGGCGGTCTGACAAGAACCATAGGAATAAGCTCTTGGCTTCATGTATTCACTCAGCAGATTATAAGTATTTATTGAATCTCTACCGTATGCTTCAGCCCTGAATGGTTGCTTTGAGAGATACAGAATTTAAACAAACAAACAAACAGAAAGTGTTCCCTCAAAGAGCTTATGCTTTAGTTGAGAAAATAAGCAATGGCCTCCCTATAAGATAGTGTTAATGATGTTGTGTTGCCATGGAATTCCTAGAAGGGAGACATGGAGGACTGGGAGTAGCCTAGCAAGCTGCCTGGAGGAGGTTAGACTCAGATGGACCTTGAAGACTAGGTGAGATTTGGTCAAGGACGGAATGGCACTTAGGGAACACAAATGTGGAAGACAGGACTGCGATGCAATAGCTCGGCGCATCTGAAGGGTGGCTTTTGATCTTACATATTACTGAGGCTCTGTTTATTTTTTCTCTGTATTCCTCACATTTGACTACTTCTATTAATCTATCTTCAAGTTCACTAACTCTTCTGTCATCAGCAGTCTACTGTTAAACTCCTCCAGTGACACAGAATTCAAGAGGCCCCAATACTACCCTCACTTCTGACACCAGTTCCAAGTTCAGAGGTCCCACAGACCACTCTCAGGTTTGATAATTTGCTAGTAGGACTCACAGAATTCACTGAAAGCTGTTATACTCACAACTGTGGTTTATTACAGCAAAAGGATACAGATTGAAATCAGCCAGGGAAGTGGCACGTAGGGCAAAGTCAGAGAGAGTTCCAAGCGTGAAGTTTCCAGTTGTCCACACAGCAGAGTCATAGACAGCATTCACTCTTCTCAGAAATGATGGGGGACAGTGCTCCCAGAGTACTGCCAACCATGGAAGCTCACCCGTGCTTGTCTAGAGTTTCACTGGGGCGCAGTCACGTAAATGTGGTTGACAGCTCACATGGCTGACCTTAGTTTCCAGCCTCTCTGGAAATCAAGCTGATACTGAGTGGCCCAAAGCCCCCACAATAAATCACCTTGTTAGAATAGACTGGCTGGCATGGCCCAAGGCCCCCGGTAAACAAAGGCACCCTGATCAGACAGGACATTCCAAGGACTTACAGATGATCTCCCAGGAGCTGAGTGACGGCAAAGGCTAGACCTTTCTTTGGGCAAGGTTAAATCTCTACTTCACAAATGAATTTTTTTAATTTCAAATATATGTAATAATACATTGGGTCTAGAATTTCCATTTGATTCTTTTAATTATCTCAGTTTTTCTTTTAATTATCTCGGTTTTATTTAGGTTTATTTACTAAGGTTTATTTATTCATTACAGGTATATTTTCCTTTATACCTGAACCTACTTAGAACAGCTGTTTCTAGAACTGTGTGCGCTCATTCCAATATGTGAGGCCTTTGGGGATTTGACTTCTTGGTTGCCTTTTTTTACCCCCTCCCAATGGCTTTATTGAGATACAATTTACATTCCCCATAATTTACCCACTTAAAGTATACCATTCAGTGGATTTTAGTATATTCATAAAGTTATGCAATGATTGCCTTTTGTTTTGACTACTGATTACATTTTTTTTTTTTTTTTTT